GCACGGCATGTTTCAGAGATTTCTAGCTAATGGTCAGCGATCCCAGAAATAATTATTGAAGCAGAATTAAAAATAAACACCTCCCTAAAAACCAACTGGAGAAATCATTTCATACATACGGCCGTACAACTGTTCCTTTCATGGGCACTTTTAGTAAGGAGGGGTTTGGTTACACCAGATACCAGACAATAGCTTCAGTATTTGTTGGGATTTAAATATTTTGCTATAGGAAATTTCTTTAAGTAAAAACCACGCAATCATGGCGGGACTATTTTTCAGCCTGGATGACGTCAAAAAATCCCAGGATCTCCTTTCTCTGTTCAGATATCCCAGAACCCTCTTTCTAGTGATGAGTTTAAATGTAATTATTTTCCTTATTCCCTGCCTGATAGGATGTTCCTTATCCTTCTGCAGCCCCCAGCACTCACCACAGCGAGATGTTAATTTATTAGATTCAAAAGCAGAATGTGGTTATATAAAGCAGCAATAGTAGGCTGGTTTGGTTTCAGCTTTATCATAATGTAGGTACAGAGGTTTACATAACCTATTAATAGTGGATGTCAAGCCATCTTCAGTCTTCTGAGTGGAAAAAAAAAACCCTGTATGCGAATAATCTTTATATTTAAAGATGAGGAGTGGCCTGTTTGTAACGTTGAAAATTTACTGACATGCAAGTCGGTCCTAGCTCCCTCTTGGCTAAACTAAAATTAAATTAGTTCTACAATAATAGACTGAAATGAGCACCAAACTTGACTCACAATTTTCTTCTGACTGTTGTGTTTAGCTATGAGAACGTGTGAAAAATGTCATGCATATTCCTTCCTCCTCCCTAGAGGTGTCGATCGTACGGTTGAGCTTGCTTTTCAACATTGGCATGGTAACCTCTTACTTTCACCTCTTTAAAAGAAATGGCTATGATTTTTAGGTGTGTTTTGTGTTGGTGATTCACATGCAATAAACGTTCGCTAGTTTTCTCCTTTGTTGAAATGAACTTTTTTAGTCTTCAGCTACAAAACCAAGAAGCTTTTAGGCTCGGGAGCCAACTCCTTTTTTGCTCTTAGAACTGTACGTGTGCCATCTGCATCCAGATATAACTGCATAAATAAGAGAAATGTGTGTTTGTCCCTGTCAGAAGGCAACTTCTGCACCTGCAACAACATTTCAGACAAAAATGGAGAAGCGACATGTGTCTGCAGACTAAATGCATTTGTTAATTTAAGAAACAGCACTAAGCTCTTTAGCTGGTTGGAGTCACCTAGTACTTTCTGTTGGTTAACTGATTGAATTTTTAGCACTAAACACTGCTTTCGCTGTAACCCAAACCCTGAGAGAACAGCAGAATGTCCATCTATGTTTAGCTCGGGTTTTTTGGCTCTTCCTTCATTCCTTGGCCATGGTAAGTGGTTTTGGTTTCCCTCTTTCTTGGAAGAGGTTAAATTGAGTCAGTGGACGTCTTGCCACCACCAAATTCCAGTCCTGAAAACGCTGAAGCAAGGGCTTAATTTAGTAAATCGGGTTAGGACCAGACACTTCACTTCCCCCACCTTCTTGCCTACACTTTTGATTTTTATGTCTATAGCAGATAAATCTCTGGTTTAGCTCCTCTCTTCATACCTATTTAAATGGCAGTGGGCTTTTTTTATTTCTTACTTGATGTACCCCTCTAGCCTGTCTTCACCTGAGGATACAGACTTCTCAAGTCATCCTTGAAGTCCTCCTGGAGCATATACTCTTCCATGCCAGTCAGGAGTCCCTGTTTTCAGCTTCTTCCCCAGGAGACTAAATTTTACCTCTAGATCTTGTCTCCTGCTTTTGCCTGTATTTTTTGCATCCACACAGCTCTAGGTTTTTCCCCAACTGTTTTTATTACCCCATTTTTTTGTTATTTTTTAGACCTTTAAGCAAGGGTGAGGTCTGCTTGGATACAGTAATGTTTTACGAATAACTGACATAACCACTCTGATCCGATAACAATTCATTTCTCTTTTAGTCTGCCCTTAGGAGTCACCACAAAGTTTGCATTCATTTTTCTGGTCAAGTGCTTTTGATAAATAGATTAAGAACCAAAAGCACGCTTGGGATACTTCAGAAAGTTATCAAGTGACTGAAAAGAAGTCTGTATTCTTTCTTAATGAAAATGAGATGCTGAGGAGGAGCAAGACCAATGGGAACATTGAAAATTCGTTATGTTTTATAGAGGAGAGGCAGTGGCAAACGATTCTGCTCACATTTGCAGCTGTTAAGACTGGAAGCTGTGGAAGAAGAGCTTGTACAAAAATGCTTACTCCAATAAACCAGGAAAAAACTGAGCTCAAGTCTTATCTTAAGGATTGGATGTGTAAATAAATCCGTGTGTTTGTCCTTATATTTTGCGGTGACCTAGTGGAGTAGCTTCACGTAGGTAATTTGAGAGGTCAAACAGCAGTGAAGAAACGTGATCGTATAAAGCCACCTCAATAAAAGCAGGCAGAAGCCAACTTAATATTTAAACCGAAGAGAGCTGCACCCGCCTGTTCTTTGCTTGTTAGGCAGCTTTGCCTTCCTACTCGCTCATGCCAGAGCTCACCACGTGCTTGTAACTTACCTCCTCGTCTTCTGGGCTGCACCACGTCTTGTCTAACAATTCCTTTCGCTTTGAAAATACCATTAACACGGGCTTTGGGGCTCCATCCCACTCCAGCGGGTGAACTTCATGGAAATGTTTGTTTCTGGCTTTGAGCTAAAATATGATGACATCTTATACTGCATTGTAAAAGCCTCTTGGTTTTTTGGGGTTTGTTTGGTTGCTGTGAGCAACACAGGGATGCTACCTCCCCTCCGCCCCTCTTTTGGTGTCTGTTAACGGATGCCTTAAGGCATTCTGTAGGCACAAGTTGAAGCGCTGCAAGCTTCTTGGCTCAGTTACAGCTTCTCGCAATAGAAGCAGAAAGTGGTCCAGGAGTCGCCCGAAGCATTAGATATATTTTAGAGCCCTGTGGTGGGAGCGTGCGTGTTTGTGTGCGTGTGGAAGGGTTTTCTTCCTTTCTCTCGCTTGACTCTACCGTTGGAAATCATCTCCTCTTGACAACCCCTTGAATCCGCTCCCTTTTCGCTCTCTTGGAATAAGAAGAAAGGCCAGATTCAATTTTGGTTTCCCTTTTCGCTCTCTTGTAATAAGAAGATGAATAAGAAGAAAGGCCAGATTCAATTTTGGTGAAAAGGAGCTTAGCTGAACAAAATAACAAGCTGAACCAATTTTTACCTCATTTTCAATTAAATCCTCTGATAGGATGTTAGCATTAGTCAGTATTATTGCCTCTCCCATGAGGGCAGTGTCATCTAAAGGCAGAAAAATCTTGCTTTCAAGATCGCTTTGGTTTGCTTCCCAATATCTCTTGATTTTACTCCAGTCTATACCAAATGCTAGAATTAAAATCGTCTTCCTTCCTTGAGGCAAATTGTACCGCTTTGCCTGCTAAAATACCTGATAACACCATCTCTTCTGCGGCATCAGCTTCTCAGCTAGCCTGAAAATAATTCCTCGTCTTTCTGCTCTCTTACCTTCCTCCTGCTGGCTATCCTTGAACTTCTCCTTCCTAAACAACTTTTTGCATACTTGTGGGATCTTTTCTAGTTTCAAACCACACCTGATGGAGAAAAATCCTGTCTTTTCAACCATAGAGGAGAGAATGCGAGAGAGAAATTCATGGAACAGTCATTTCTTTCATGCGTGCATACGCAACCTCAAGTTGTTTTGAGCAGCACTAAGCACGATCTCTCGAGTGATAATTTTAAGAGGATTTTTTTCAGTTGATCTCAAAGGTTGTGAAAAATAATATCAACCTGAAGGAGACTTGTGAGAAAGAGGAATGCAGGGTGGCTCTGGACCGCAGTGCCTGTCTCAGTAGTGAGATGTCCATGAGTCAGCAAGTCATCCAGGACAAGGAGTTCTTCTTGCGGATCCCCTTTGGAGTATTGATTAACTTAAATTGGAGAAATCACTGAAATGTATGTTGTAAGAATGTGTTCTGTTGTACCAGGAGCACACCCTGGGAAGGTGGGGTGAATAGAATGTCTTCTCACAGCTAGTTTTACTGATGGGAACAGTATGAGACTGGCTCAGAACAAAAATCACAGAATTCCAGGCAGCTTGAGGTTGAAAGGGACCTCTGGAAGTCATCTGGTCCAGAACCGGTTGCCCAGGACCGTGCCCAGATGGCTTTTGAGTATGTCCAAGGGTGGAGACTCCACAACTTCTCCAGACAACGTGTGCCAGCGCTCGGTCACCCTCACAGTGAAAAAGTGTTTCCTGATGTTCAGAGGGACCCTCCTGTGTTTCAGGTTGTGCCCATGGCTGCTGGTCCTGGCACTGGGCACTGCTGGGAAGAGCCCGGCCCCGTCCTCTTGGCACCCTCCCTGCAGGTACTTACGGACATTGATGAGATCCCCCTGAGCCTTCTCTTCTCCAGGCTGAACTGTCCCAACTCTCTCAGCTTCTCCTCATAGCAGAGATGCTCCAGTCTTCCTGGCCCTTTGTTGGACTCTCTCCAGAATCTTAATTAATAGTTATCCTTTGGCAGAATAGGTGCAGTAAATGTCTACAGAATACCCACAAATGTAGGAGGAATATCAGTAAACCTAGTTTAGTGGAAAGGTGGAGACTGATTCATGTCCTAAACACTGAGATGTAAATGTAAGTGCAGTGGGTAGTGCACTAATGGAAATTAGAGAAAGATTGGGAATGATTTCAGAAATTAAACGCTGGGAAGTCTGTCTTCAGAGTTTCAGATGGGTTCTGTTCAATCTGTAGACAATAGAGAACTACTTCATCTTGCTTTAGTTGGCATTTCTTGAAGGGGAGACTTTTTTTTGTTATTGATACAATAAAAGCAGGCATAAGATGAAACAATATCAAAGAGGTGATTTGAAATTTGAGTTGCTGTTTTGCAGACAAAAATTTTGACAGAAATTGCTGTGCTGTTCTAAAATATTTGATGACATTATGATTTGATCACAAATTACAAAGAATGAGCCTGAATGGCCTATTGCATCAGACTTAACCTTTCATCTTTGCTTCCAATAATGCATGTTTACTTTAGAAATTGGATGACTTCCTTGGCTAGTTATTCTTCATCTCTTTGATACAGTGTATGGGTGAAACGGTATTTCAGTTTTATTCATCATGAGTGTCTTTCATTGCAGTAGGACTGTGTTTGGTATTCAGTGTCACGCTGGTTTTCCTGAGATGGTTCAGTTGTGAATTCTTGTGAATTTTGATTTGCTTTCGTAGTTGGCTTTCCGCAACATGGTACCATCACAAAATTCATAAGGAAGAGAGTTGTTTTCTTGAATCTTTTTTGTTTTGTATGAAACAAGATCCCAGGCTGATGAATGTAATAGAAAGTTATCCTATAACTAAATGTCATCATATCTGCAGGGGTAGCCCCGGGTCTATATCGTGACTCGTTCTCTTGTTTTCTGTTCCAGAGTCGACAACTGGAATCGGAAACTGGAACGACTGAGGAGCACAGCCTCAACAAGGAGGCTCGGAAATGGGCTACCCGGGTAGCCCGCGAGCACAAAAACATCGTCCACAGTCAGCGGGTAGGTTAGGAAAACATTCGTTTACAGGTTTTATTTGCTGCATGAAAGAGGAACTGCTTCAAGCGCCAAGGAATTATTTTTGTCCTGTTAGATCTCCAGGCAACTTGCCATTTTCATCTTACCCTTTCTTGATACAATACACTCAAACGGCCAGGTTAGCACCTCCTCAGACTTTTTGGTTTGTCAATAGCTTGTTATTCCCATACAGGGATCTGTTTCACATGCTCAGGTCAAGCCTAATTTGCATAGACTACATTAAATGCAGTTAAAGAAGATGTGTCTATGCTACAATATCTCTAATATGATCTAATATTCAGTGAGCTTCAGGCCAGGAAGTGGGGACCTGACTTTTAGTTCCACTTCAGAGATCTGAGCCATTCCTCAAACTACCCAGGGGAATGCACGAAGCAAGACCAGAGTAGGTGTTGACCATCTTACCTGTCTTCTGCTGA